TATATATATATATATATATATATATATGTATATATGTATATATGTATATATGTATAATATTATATATATATATATATGGTATAAATTATGTATAAAGAAGAAGAAGAAATTATGTATAAAGAAATATGGTATAATAAGTATAAAATTTAATTTATATAAGTATAAATTCTTCATAGAATATTGATTTGTGGTTTCAGTATCTCGCGAGATGTCCTTTGTTTTTCTCCAATATATAAAATTTGTATAAAGGGAAAATTATATTCGTCCTGTTATTCCGTTGTACACACGTGATCTGAGTAAGATATAACATTATGTGTCCTCTCGCTTAATTGTGAAGCTAATCATTTGATATTTCGCGCTTATAAGGACGCCGGATTCCGTTATTGTCAGTAGTTCGCAATAATTCGCCAAGAAGGTAATATATATTATTCATGACTACACGTAAGTTAAAATGTAATGTTTAAGTGCTAGGATTAGCATGAACGGATGTTTTATCACTTACATTATTTTTAATATTTACTCGCACGTAAAATTGAAATTTTCAAATAAAATAGAGTTTACAATTTTCCGGGCTCACAAATATTCGGACATTTTTCAAACATTTCTAGAGTATATTTCAATATTTGTGCTATATGGGATCGTACTTTGCGCGGAGATATCGTTATTGTAACGCGTCACAGATTTTGGAAGTGCCTTTCCATCAAGTTGTAATCAACATATTAAAATCGTTCCACGCCAGCCGGATGTATTACTATTCGTAAATGGCTATTCGGAAGTGGTATTAGCAAAATTATAATTTCTGCAATTTTAAATCGCGGAACCGACTGCTTTTATGTTACGCAGCAAACACATTCGTGAACATATTTAGTCTGTCCCAATATTCAAGGTGCCTTTTATAAGTAACTGTCATTATTGTTTCGACTTTATTATTGTGTCTACACGTTCTTACCTATTTATCAAGCAAAACGAACTATCGAGATTTTGGTTATATTTGAAGTAGATGAAGTGTGTATACATAGTTTAAATTATAAACATATATAATGTTTCTCGGTAAATATCATTGTCTCTGCATTCAATTTATTTCTTTTCTTGCTTCAATCTCACCTATATATTCAATCTCACCATAATATTTTTACATGCATAAGGCGGAATTTAATAACAGTGACTTTATTTTCAGTGCAATTTTTTATTTATACTCAATTCTACTTTGATCTAAAAAACAATTTCATTGTGCAGATATTTGATGCAAAAATGAGTGCGACAAGCTTAAAGCTATTATTAAGCACCATCTTAATCACCAGCGTGATGACAACTTTTACCGTCGATGAAGATCACGGAGAGTGTGAGTCCGCTTCACCTACAGATAGTTTAGACGTTAATGTAACGGAGCCAAAAGCCTATGATATCAAATTCGTCGTGAAACCGAATTTCAATGAATTTTACGGTATATGCGGTATCGCGCTTCATGTTCATCACGCGACGAGAACAATACGTTTACATGCTTATAAAATACGGCTAAGCTTGAGTGATATACAGCTCTCAAAAGTAAATTCTACGGAGGCTGTCGTGCAACCAGTGCAATATCGTTATTGTGAAATATCGCAGATATTAGAGTTGCATTATGAAAAAGATATTTTTCCTGGAGTATATTATTTAAAATTGTCTTTCGTTGCATATATTAACGATCTATATAAAGGGCTAATACAATATCGATACATAACAAAGGAAGAGTTCCAGAGGTGAGTAAACGTTAAAATCAAATATGCTATTCTATGTTGCTATAATCAATTATTCATTTCCGGAGTTATTGTTTCGGAACTATTACAATACGTCAAAAATTTTATACAATAAAAGTTAAAAGTATAATAATAATTTTATAAAATAAACTATTTAATAAAATGAACTACTGAATTTATAAAACTAAATTTATAAAATTTTTTAATAAGGTATAATTTTTTCACAAAATATTTTATAAAAAATTTTACTTTATAAAATTAAATAGTTTATTTTATAAAATTTTTATTATACTTTTAACTTTTATTGTATAAAATTTTTGACGTATTGTAATAGTTTCGAAACAATAATTCCGGAAATCACATTATATATATAATGTGATTTCTAAGTCATTTTTCTGAACGTACATTGACTGCTGTCGACTTATTATCGTTATAGAAACGCTGAATAATTATGGTTAATAAAGGCATGTACTTGAAATGTGATAGGTCGTTGATAACGAATCTTTTTCAACCAATCGTGGCTCGAAGAGTGTTCCCGTGCTGGGATGAACCAGGAATAAAGACATCCTTCAATATTTCGATCGTGCATCCTAACGGATACACAGTTTTGTCGAACATGGGAGAACTTACACACAAGTCTGAATCTAATAATTTGAATTGTACAAAATTTGATTTAACTCCTTTGATATCTCCTTCCGAAGTGGCGATTGTTATGTTTGACAATACAATCCGCAAAATTGAAACTAGATATAATTTCATTTATATGGAAAATGGAAGAAACATATGGCATCTTCCACATAAAAATGATGAGTTGAAATTTGCATATTCTATGATTCATGAAATCAAGACGTCTATGTCTAGATATACATTAAGGCGTAGTGTAACTTCGAAAACCGATTACATCATGATTCCTCATAGTCCAGCAAAGGCCACAGGATCTTTTGGAATCGTTATTTGCAGGTATACCACACGTGTAATCAAAAGATTATACTTTCAGTCATCTTTTTCAATGTACAAAAATTCCTAGTGTTCATAATATGATAGTATGAATACACTCATGCAGTATATATGAAATTGAAAAGAAAATATACATACTTTAATAGCCAAAATTAATTTTAACGTTTGAATCCTATTTCTTCAACGTTTTTTTAGAGTTAAAGTTAACTTTTCCTATGTTATCATATATTAAATAAGTATACATATATGAAAATGCGAAACTATATGTTATACTATTTTTAAGATCGAGAGTTGCACGATTTTCAACCTTATTTATAATGCTGCCTTATTTATAACACATGACGCAATATATATATATATATATATATATATATATATATATATATATATATATATTATATCTGTATACAGAAAAAAGTATGGTTGATTCACACAAATTTGATTCTGCCAACCAGATTCAATACTGAACATAGTTGGCACAGCCAGATTTTTGTGTACCAATCATATTACTTTTTCCGAGTGTTTCAATATGTATGCACAATAAATTAGAACTGTGATATAATCTTGTATTGAGACGGTGTAAGGATTACGAAAATAACATTAAAATGTTATTAAAATGACATTATTCGGAAATTTGTAGAGAAGAAGATTTTACGTATTACGAAAAGCTTCATTTCACCGGTCGCAAACTGGAAGTCTGGAAGTTACTTGCACGTCAAGAGACACGTCAGTGGTTCAGTGGACCTGTCACCCCATCGTTGTCATCTGACATGTGGATAACCGACTCATTTGCGATGTTCTTCAGTCATTATTATACTATGCAGGTAATTTTACATTTTTAGTGTTAGTAAAATAGTGTTAGTAAATTCGCTTCTGCAGTTTCAACAGGTTAATATAGAAAGTTTTTAAATCTTGATTAACGTTCTTCAACAATAGAAGCATATTTATATTATGAATTTCAACATCACTTTTGATAGGATATTCACAACAATTATTACTTCCAGCATGAATACAGCTCACTGTTAGAGGATCTTTTCGTGGTCCAAGTTTTACAACCCACTCTCCACAATGACAAAGCTTTACAAATGAAACCTGTTGTACATGAAGTCAACGTATCCAATGAAATTGATATAATCCTATACTCTCGTTTGTATCCTTACAAAGGTGAGTAAATGCAGTCTAATGAGTTTACGTTTAAATACGTCTAAATTGCTTTTCAAGTTTTTGAATGTCATAAAAATAACCAAAATTGACGATTATTATTGCGTTTAACGTTACATTTATATCACAATTTATCATGAGAATTATCGTAGGATCTATTTTACTACGTATGTTGCAACATATTCTTACCCCGAGGGCTTTTCGTCAGTGTGTCGCGAAATATGTGAAAGGATTGATGGAAAGATCGTGAGTACATCGCAAAAATATTCTCATAATTTGCTTTTCTTTTTATATATTCTTTTTGAAAACTGCTTATGCACATGTTTGCTACACACGAATATTCTAAAATTATTCTCGTATTCTTATGAATTACTAAGGAGGGAGGGGGAATGGGATTGTACACTGAAGAATTCTTTTTATTAAATTCTTTTGTTAAATTATGACGTATGAGTCGCTCACATTTTTATTTGTATCAAATTTTTCGGAATTTTAGCACAATTTTTATTGCACGAAAATTAAATTAAATTCTGCGAAAAAATTCACAAATTGATAATGTAACTATTAAAGTGCTTTCTTATATATATATATATATATATATATATATATATATATATATATATATAT